TGCACAGTCAGAATACTGCTCTTAAGCCTAATGGTAGCCTAAGGGAGAAAGTCCGAAGGAGAAAAGGAAGTCATCATCATCCTCTCCCATTTCTACTCAGCAGGGACAATAGGGCCTGTTGTCCATGGGCAACAGCCTCGTTTGTCCTTTTCCATTACATGGATGAAAATAGAAAGTAAGCATGCTAAACCCAAAGATATTTATATATAAATATATGCATAATTTTTAAAGAGAGGGGATTTCTTACAGTAAAATGTCAAGAATGGCAAAGAGAGGCAGCTCTGCAGAGAGCCCTTGTTCTGCTGTTGTGGTTCACAGCACCCTTCAGCTTGGATAAAGCCAACACGAGGTTTTGCCCTCCCCCTTCTAGATTCCTCCACCTTCTCAAGTGCATGGCTGATAGATGAGGGATTGCAGAAGCAGTCACATTCACACTATGTATCCTTTGGGGGTCTCATTTTAGATAGTACAAATCCTCAGATGTAAATGTAGCTCTTCAGAAATATAAACAGTTACAACGAAATGTGAATGATCTATGTACATTTTGAAAAGCACAGACAAAAAGCCAAGGTCAAATCGTTAGATGCTTATAAGGATGCCTGAAGTGCTTCCAGATACTGTACTGCCAAACAATTGCGATGTTTTATGTGTGCATGGAGACAGGCACTTACAATCCCAGAATGCCTTTCAGTCTCTTTGACCAAACAGGTCATTTGGATATTTAGGTGAGGAGACTGAGGCGCTTCCGAAGTTCATTCTTTTTCCTCTGGCAGACCTGGTGCAAGTCATCTCCTCGTGCTGTGAGGAGCTACTCCACGTGACTGGTTACATTAGTCATCTCCTCTTCTGCCCTTACAGAGCCTGAGATGGTTTTGAATTTGTTCATCTGTTGATGCAGTTGCTCCCTGCAAAGGACCAACACAGCCTCTCTGTATGGAAGCCTCAGGTGATACACACTCCCAGTTAACTAACCCTAAGTCAAATGACGCAGGAGGATTCAGTGTTGGACTGTGATCAAAGATAATGGTGATTTTGCAACATAAAGCTCTTTTTGTTTCAGATTTTGCTGCCTTTCCTCAGCTGTACAGCTCACCTGTATGAGGCAGGGAAGCAAAAAGAGGAATAAAGAGAAAATGGCAGGTGTTAAGTCTGCGTTAGAAGGAAGGCTGCACGCCAGTAATCATAAGGGAAGGTGGAAAGAGGAACTGCAGCTATTTTAATCGTATTTTATCTCTACTGGAAAACAGAAAGACAAATTAGAATAGTGACTTGTTACAGAATAGAGCAACAATTAGACACCAGGATCTTTAAGCCTCTTATTAAAGTTTGTGAAATACAGAATTTCTTCAATGATCATTGCACGGACATGGCTGCACTGAGAAGCACTGTGAGCAGTGGCAGTGGTAAAACCCATGCTGCTAGCAAACAGCTGAGCTGACCAGGGAGAGAAGAGGCCTGCTAAGCAATGGAGATAATCTAGCATTACCAGTTCAGGAGGTCATGGCCACGGGCCGTGCTTCTGAATTGATGGTGCTCAGGTGAGGGAAAACCCAGATGCACCTGTTTTGCAGCAGAGGTTTGCACAGTGCAGAGGAGAAGCTACAAACACTTTAGCAAGAGCTAGGTCATCACCTCTGCTCATATTAAAGGCACCTTTCTCCACCTTAGCCCCTGAAAGTACCCAGATTTACTCACTCCAGTAGCAGTGAGTGTCTTCAAGTAAGGGCTTCACTGGGTTGGAGGAGGCTGTGAATGCAGGGGGTGTAGAGTGGCAGGCATTTCACTTGCCTTCCCATTAGCTCACAGTCAAGGCAGGTTATTAAGTGAAGTAAACCACCAGGACCACAGTAGGAAATAAACCATAATCTGAACTGGACCTTTCTCACAAACTTTTCTTTCACTCACAAAATGTTTCAAATCAATTAGCAGCTAATAGTATTCCATTTAACGGACAGAATCAATGCTTCAGAGAACAGGGAAGGCAGTATTTAAGAAGGCCAGACTGGTTCATTACTCTCTAGAAGAGAACTTCTTCTTGTTTTGGGTTGGGTTTTTTTTTAAGCAAACACAATTGTGCTGCCCTGATGGAAACAAATACTCATTGATTTCACTGAGGATTCTGCCTACCTCAGGAGCATGACTCTGGTATTTTACTTTGGTCCTTTGCAGCGATGTCATCATTGGAGAGGTTTTATCTCTTCCTTTTTTTCTCATTTTTTTCCCCCAAGTGCTTCATTCATTATTAGAAACTCTCAGAACAGCATCTGGCTTCTAAGTGATTCTGGGGCTGTATCTAGGTATTGCCAAGGGACACTTTCAAGAGATCATTTCACTTTGTGTCAGCTGTTCCCTTTGCTGCTGTGGTACTTAGTTTGCTCTTCAGTTCACAGGGATGTTGCCATCTTTTGGTGGGGAAATAGGTAAGTTAAAGAAAGCACCTCAGGGAAGGGCTGTGGAGAGTGTCAGTCTCAGGGGCTCATTTCAACACTCAGTGCACAAACACAGGTTCACAGAACAACAGTGTTAGGCATGGCTGGGTGAGACATGAGCGAGGGGAAGCATCTCAGGCTCCATCCCATAGGATGTGTTCCTCAGTCTCAGGTGTCACAACCGCAGACAGGGTGCTCAGCACTCCATGGGGCTGCAGTGTCACTGCTGCCATTGTTCTGTCCTTGCACCACTGGCTCAGGTTGAAAGCACCTGGCTGTTTATTCCCATCTGAAGAGTAGAATTCAGTTTAGCCGATCAAAACCTTGGCTGGTTTGGCAACATTCATTTGGACTACTATAAACCAAATTCATCTTTGTGATCTAAGTGATGTTGAGTATAAAGCTACTGAACAGTGAGCAAAAAAAAAACCTATGACTTAGTTATTGGCTTACCAGCTGTATCTAGCTCTTTAACACTGTTATATCTGCTGTATCCCATTATACTGCTGCCTCCATGCAATTCCATCAATATGCTCCAAAGAGCAGAAGACACTAAAATAATTCTAGTGCACCCAGGAAAGACCTTTGAGAAAACCCTTTCCCCACCAGCACACACATTTTCTTGTAGACCATCCAGTGACTTCATACAAAGTGGACAGGCAGCACTCCTTTTCCAGTGGGATAAGAAATTCCCAGTCACCCACCTCTTGCACAGTAGGTATATTTGGTTTCCAAATATGAGAGCAATCATTTTAAGAAGCCTGGGTTAGCTAGAGGGACAGAAACTGAGTCCTTACTGCTCACATAAGCTAAAATCTCCCTAACTGCAAAGGAGAGTTTGCTAGCAGAGGAAATGGAAAGCCAGGACTTTTGCCCATTCTCTAATCTGAGAGGGACAGGCTGGGTGCAGACGAAGGCTGCCACAAAACAAAGCATTCAGGCATGCACTTAGAACACTTCCTTTGCTGAGCAACTGGAACACTGCACACCAGATGCTTTCTCTTCCTTTTTCCTGAGCATGAATACAGTACCTCGGACTGAATCTAGCACCAGATGCAGCTGTTTAATACCCAGTTAGCAAGACAAGAGACTACAGCTGACACCACACATTGCAATTAAACTTATTCTGAGCTTATCCAACTGATGAAAAGAGAGCATTTTTTATGTCCAGCTGCTAAACCCCACGCATGAGCTGGGAAACATTCTGTGCCTGTTTATACCAATCTGGATCCAGTGTTTGGGTTCCTGGAGTCAGAGCTTAGGTTCATATTATGTTAATGGTCAGATTAGAGCAAAGCTTTCCACTATGAACATGTGCCTCTACAGGAACGCATCACAGATCAGGGTGGGTTTTAAATACATGATCATATACTCCTTATTCTGTATGATTCCTCGGACCACGAACAAACTAAAAAGTGATAAAAACTAAAATAGTCTTCTCTTTGTGAGGTGCTAGGCTGTAACTCAGAGAAGCAATGTTTCTGGCCTTGGACTTATTGTTAAGTGAGAAGATGAGGTGTCAGTGGTGCCTCCCATTCTGATGGTTTCTAAGTGACTGAAGTGACACTGTTAAACTTCAGTAACTACAGACATACATAAAAAACTAAGTTGGAAAGATTTGTATGGTGCTTTACAGCAACACTGGGGCAATTCCTCCTCCAAGCAGCTCGCAGTCTAAGGCATAATGAGAGGATGAGGCACTGGCACAGGGTGCCCAGAGGAGCTGTGCCTACCCCATCCCTGCAATGTTCAAGGCCAGGTTGGACAGGGCTTGGAGCCACTTAGTCTAGTGGAAGGTGTTCCTGCCCATGGCAGGGGTTTGCATCTAGATGAGCTTTAAGGTCCCTTCCAACACAAACCATTCTGTGGTTCTATGGAAGCACAAATACTGAGATCAGTTGTACATGTAGGCTTTCTACTGCTGTGGCGATTTGTCTCCGTGTGGCAAAATACAATGTCGACAGCAGTCACTAAGTTAGTCCTAAACCAACGAACTTGAGTCCAAAGACAGAGCAGGCCAGTGCCTTACTACGTGTTTCCCAGCAAGGCTAATCATGCAGAGCTGGCTCTAGCTTGCCTTGGCCTGTTCCAGGTAGCAGTTCTCCCTGTCCCAGGACATACTTTCTCCTGGAAATCTGGTTTGTGCTGCTGGACACCAAACAGCATGTGTCTGCCACCCAGTCAACCTGCACGTATCAGCTGCTGAGATGGAAAAGAGAGATGGGAAACACAGCAGGGAAGAACTGGGGCAGGGAGGAGTGAAGGTTTCACACTGAGAAAGCTCCAGTGGGAAAAACAGGGCACACAGAACCCAAATCAGGAGAAAACTAGGATTCATTAGTTACACTGTTCTTCTGTACTAAGCACGGGCATGGTACCTGCTTCTTCATGCTCCCATTATTAATTAGTTGTTTATCTTTGAATTTTATTTTAAAAGGATGGTAGGGGCAGACATGGAGAATACAGCATTTCTGTGGTTTGCTCAAAAAACACCAGCTTGAGCAGGGATGTGAAAGGGAACCACGTGAGAGCCGAGGGAAACATAAGGGCAGTGAGACAGTCCTAAGTGTGTGTGCTTCTAAATGGTTTTAATGGGGTCACTTCTGTCCTGAGGCATAACTCAGTGCGTTCAGATGACAGGCTCTGGCCCTGAGCTTGTGAGAGGCTTTGCAGATGAGTGTGACAAGCGTGGGTTTAGCACAGAGGGGACTGCACTCTGAGGACTTGAATGTGGCCAGATGGCAAAGAGGGGGCATGTGTCCCCACTGGAAGGCTGAATGGCTACCATGAAATACGGCAGAGCAGGAGACCTTAGTGCAGGAAAAGACCTCGTGTCAAACGCGGGCTTGGACAAAAGTTTCAGAAGAAATGGATGGGTTTGGAAAGGCTGCAAAGGGATGAAATTACAATAGAGTGACTGTCAGGGAGAAGGAATGGCTGCAGGTTTATTCTGCAATAAATCTTTAATTTGTTCAATGCAGAACATTTGAAAACCTTCCCCCTGAAGCACAGCTTTTCCACCCAATGATGCTGTTGTCTCTTACCAACCTTATGTTGTCCTGTTATTGCAGAGAAATAGAAAATACACTTTCACATTAGGAAACTGTAATGGGGTAGCAGTAAACAACATGGAGCAGTTCAAACATGCAGCAGTTTGGAACTCTCCTTGCTTAGAGCCTTCCTTCCAGAGCAATCCCTCTGCACTCCCATCTGTCCCTGCCATGAGAATTTGGTTACAATTAATCACTGATCAACTCCTTGTAAAGGCTTTATTTAATCTTGAGAAGTGCTAAGGGGGAAGCACACACATGCATACATGCACCAGAGCTTTAGGATAAAGGAATCTAAAATCTGGTCAGATGAGTTTCTCAGGAAAGAAAATAATATAGGCATTTACTGGTCAATAAGGGGTTTGGCTTGTTTCTTTTGTTTCTGCCTTTTGCAATCTTTAAAAATGCTTAATACATTGCTTGAGAGCTGCATGTTTCACTTCAGCACAGAGTTAACCATTGAAATTCATTAATTGCCTTTTATGTTGCCATTAAACATTGCAATCAATTCAGTCTCCATATTCTACACTTTTATCTCCGCTACATAAAAAAGGTCTATTAGCTTTGCTTGGCTCCAAAACAATACAGTGAACTACCCTTCATTATTAATAATCTCTTTCCCCTTGAATAAGGCTTTTTGGACCTTTACTACAGTCCAGTGATGTATTTATTTGGTGCGTAGGGTTCAGAGCAATCCAGTGCACTCTCTCTGGGAAAGAACCCAAAAATAACTATCTAGTTGATATCAACCCAAGGGATTTCCTAAGGGAATGAGAATAGCATTTCAGGGCAGGTCATCAGTGGTATAGGGGAATTAGACAAATCTGTGTCTGGGGAACAGATGCCTCTGGGTTTGCAAATGTGTGAGAGAACCTTTCCCCTCTCGGTGACCAGTTCAGCTCCATCCAGTGCAGCAGTGACTGGAAGCCATTAAACATCTAATGAACTTCTGGGCCCTCCTGAAGCAAGGAATGGGATTACTAACAGACACTTACTTACATCTTGGAGCCGCTCCTACCCAAACTGTCTTCTCAGCAGTAATACATAGACACAGAAACTGGGAATAAGCACAGTAAAGTGAAGAGTATTTTATCCACTGAATGCAGTAAGCAGGTTGCTTCTGGGCTGGCAATCCAGCTTTAGATTTACTGCTGGCACTTGCCTGTTCTTTAAAAGAAACAAAATGATGCATTACAAAGCACTTTGTTATAACCTTTCCTCACACAGTCCATCGGGAGGGCCTGGAAGAGTTACAGACCCACTCTTGCAGCATCTCAGACTTTGGGGAAGATAAAGCAGTAAGGAAGGATTTGGTTTTGTGCTTGGAGGCCAATTCTGGGACTCCCAAACTGCTACATGCTGCACATCCAGCTTTGATGCAGGTCTGCTAGGAGAAAGAGAAGACAAATGCTGAGCATTACAACCACAAACCACAGCTGTTGATGGGAATTGGCAAGAGACCAGGGAATGCCAGGAAGCATAGATGGCCTGCAGCAGAAGGTAGGGCTGAGCAGGGCTCTCTGACACTTGAAGCTTTTATATTCAGCTCCTGGTGCTTTTCCATCCTGGCATCTGGTTTCCATGATAGCACAAGGGAGGGACAGTATGGTGCAATTCCATGGTATGTTTTCCGAGGTTATGTTGGCACTTCCTCAGGGAAACATGCCTCAGCAGAGGCTCAGGTTCACCATGCCCCTGGGTTCACATTATCTGCAGCTATTCTGTGTGCTTTAGCTTGCTGCTGGCTCGCTCCAGTTGCCTCCATATTTCATTGAGGAGGAGGGGGTTGAGGCGTGCCAACTGTCCTCCTCCTCTCTTCTAACACAGGATGGAGACACACCGAGGAGCAGAGCCAAGCTGTGGCAAAGCCCTGCCCATCAGCATAGCTGTGACCAGAAGAGCATGTGATGGGACTCGTAGCTCTGCAGTCCTGCACAGGAACTGGTGAAGCTGGAGCCAGGCTGTGTGGCTGCTGCTCAGCTCTGAGGCTTGGTATGTACCCTGGTGCTCCCATTTCTTCATGCCCTTCTGAGTGGAAGCTCTTCAGGGCTATCTTTATCCACTCATATGGTACATGATTAAACTGTGACAATTCAGGCACAGGCTATTGAATAGTGCAGTGCGGTTCTATAAACTGCAAAGAGCATGCAAGTTTTGAAGGCTGAAAAAAGAGGAGGAGAAAACAAATAGGAAAGGTTTTCTGTAATGGGATCCTCCACTGCTCACCCGCTTTTGTTACCAGCATGTGCAAATCTAGCTATTCCAGTCCATTATATTCAGCCCTCTTATACTCGGTGGCAGGTGAAATGTCATACCTCGGGGTAAATTTTCACTGCAGTAGGCAGAGAATTTGTCCTTTAAACACCCTTAGTATTAATGGGAAATTGATCCCGCAGTTTAAACTCCAAGAGATACAAATGTCTCATTTTCAAATGTGATGACAGTTTGATTCACAAAATGAGACACTTTTAGAAGCAAATGCAAATTCATTGCATTCAGGATTTGAGGTCAGCTGGATACCGGAAATGTGCAATGAATGTTTAGGATGTTCATCAAATATCTTTTAATCTCTGGACACTCAAGGGATTAAAGTGACCTCAGAGAAAGGAAAGGGAATTTCTGAAGTTTGCTGCATTAACTGGTGCATCCTCTTACAGGGCTGGAACCTACATTGACCTGTTGCACTTGCAATAATCGTGTCTAGGGCAAAAGGAGGCTTCTCTTATTTTGGGATAAGAGAAAATACATCTTTCGCACCATCGGACTTGCTTTCATCTCCCAAGAGCTCTGATCCTGCTCAGGTCCACCTGGGGGAGTTGTCAGTGTTTTACTGCTGTCAGTGGAATTCACAGTAGGACTAGAGCCCATAAGAACAGTGCAGGACATAAACCAGTACACACCGAGAGGGGGTGGCTCGCCTGGTTCCCAGGCACAGGCTCTCTCCACTCTTCCAGCTCAGAAATTATTCAATGCATTGTGAGAAAGATGATCTGCACATTAGGGACACATCCACAACGGCCTTACAGACTCTACCAGTCCCTTGTAGGTCAAACCTTACAAAACCCAAGGAAGCCTGCCTGTGGGTTTGGGCTCCATCCTGCAGAAAAGGGTGAGCAGCTTTGGAGAGAAGGACCAACTTGGCAAGTTTCTGGGTCTCACCTGCACTGAACCAAGGTTTGGGATGCACTGGCACAGCTGCAGGCAGAAACGGGTCACTTTCCTCCTCTCCCCTCCCTACTGCAGCCAGTGGCACAGCTCCCAGCAGAGGGGAGTGAGGGGTAACCACTTCCCATGCGCAGGCAGGGCCAGTGGGGCTGCCTATGGTCACCTCCTGCGGCGGGGCCATGCCGGGTACATGCATACATGCATAGTAGTTTGGATGGGGTGTGAGTTGTTACTTCATCGGGGGATTTCACAGGAAGGCCATGGCTCCTCTCGAGTGGACACGAACATCCCCTGTGGCAGACACCCCAGCTGGTACATGTCCCATGACAGCAGCAGTGTGAGGAACCAGGGGAGGAGAACAAATGCAGGGGAAGTTCTGAGGTCCCCACAGAGCAGCCTCAGCCCTTCCCCTTCCCCAGCAGTTCTGGGAGCCACTGCCCAGGGGAAGTTACACCAATTTGGGTGCTGACTGAGAACACGACTTCCCTCACAGGCACATGTACAATGGAGCCCAAACAGAGTTAAGAGGAAGAGGAAAAGCCCCAGCGCTGTGCAATATGCAAACAACTGTATTCAGCTGTATGAGAACAACAACTGCCCAGGAACAGCTCCAAACCTGTGCAGCCTTGGGCAACCTGCTGATAAACCACAGCCTTTTGGGTGGCCTTGCTGGTCCTCTCCAAGGGCTCTGGATAAGCACTCTAGCAGGCACGCAAGGTTATCAGGATCAGTGCTTTCCTACATGCTCACTCGAGCACGCTGTTTTCCTTCTGGGCCCCACTTGCTTCCTCAAACTGGCTGATGTGCCATAGGAGTCTGAGGGAGGAAGAACATACTGGTCCTGTACCAGTTACATGATCTCCTGGGAGCCCCATACAGAAGCATTCAAGGTTATTGTCATCTCCACCCGGGTGGCGTTTCCCTGCAGGCAAAGAGTTCCAAGTACATCTACCAACTGCTTCTCACATCCAGTAGCTTATCTTTAAGGAAAAGATGACAGACCAAAGAGAACATCAATAAGCTGAAAAGATCATTTTTTTAGTATGACCAGCAGCTACAAATCCTAGGTGTACCCTGAATGCATAAATGTGTTTTAAAGGTGTTGTGACTCATGTCACATCCAGGCATACAGCTGGGTAACAGCAGACTTGGGACAGGTTCAAGCGGACTGAAAGCAGTTTTCACTCATAAATGCAATGACAGCAGTGCAAATAACCTGGATGTCTGATGCGCTGTGAATCCTGGGCACAAGAAGTCCCAGTACAAGTTTTACAGCTCAGAGCTGTTCCTAAAACAATCTCCTTTCAGAGTGAGAATCCTGGGAAAGAAACTTGGTCTCAACCCTTAAATAGAGGTGTGAGGGGCTTCTTCATTCACATTTGACAGATTACTGCAGGCCAGTGCCAGCAGGTACCTGTGATACCCACTTACACAAGGATGCTGCCACATACAGTAAATACTACTTCACACCTCAACATAAACAGGCTGCCAGACAGACCCACAAATGCACAGAGAGTGTGTCTGCCCTATGGCCAGTCCTTTAGAGGGATGAGGATTCACAGGCTGGAGCATCTGCCCTCAGTGCTAGGACTAGCAGAACAGAATTAGGAATGGGGCTCCTATTTCCTCCCTTTAAGTTTTGCTGACTAGCCCATAACCACCATCATGAAAACCCAAATCATCCCTGGAGATCTCAGACTGCAGAGATATAGGGACAGGGGGTAGTGTGATGGGGAATGTCTCTGGCAAGGCACTGAGCTGTGGGGAACATAAATCATACATCACATAACTCTACCCCAATGGCATCAGTTGTCCAAAATCAGCACACCACCTGGGGATGCCTACAGAGATGGGCTCTGGTTGTCTCTCCACAGGGCAGCTCAGAGAGGGAAACAAGTCAGCTCCAGGTTCAGTGTGGGCTGCTGCCCTCCTCCAAAGCACAGCCACATGGCTGTTCCCATTTTAGGATGGTCCTTCAGTGCTGGCCCTGGCCTGCAGCTGCCCAGACACTTCAAACCCTCCGGCATGAGCTGCTGGGCAACAGTGTGTCTGACACAGTCCAGCCCTCCCTGCTTTAGCACCCTGTGGGCTCCAATGGGAGCAAGGTGAGGGGCAAGAATGCAGCCCTGCCATTGCTGGTGAAGCTCTGCAGTAACTGCTGGCTGCTGACAGCCAAACCAGAGCCCTGTCTCCTGTACTGTTACGGGAGGGAGCCGCCAGCCCTGTGAGTAAATGTTTCAAAGCTGCACCGAGGCATTGTTCAATTCTGATTTCCAAGTGACCTGCAGTTCCTCTGGGTATGCTAAGGGTGGAAGAATGTTCACTCCCAGGAATCAGTTTATCTCCAGTGGTGCCCAGCACAGTGGTTCCCAGGGCAGGGACGAGAGGTGGGAAGGCTCCTGGTGTTCTCCCTGCCCTCAAACACCAAAGATGAGCAGCTCCATCAGATGTCACCTCCACCAGCAGAACCAAATAACAGCCACCCCTCCTGCAGCTCCCTTCCTCAGCAGCTCAAGGTCCTTTTTTTGTATCATTCTGCCCTCCAGAATCAAGTTTCCCACCAATCTATTGCCCACTTCAACTTGGAATCATAGACTCATTTAGGCTGGAAGGGACCTTAAAGCTCATCCAGTTCCAACCCCCTGCCATGGGCAGGGACACCTTCCACTAGAACAGCTTGCTCCAAGCTCCATCCAACCTGGCCTTAAAGACTGCCAAGGATGGGGCAGGCACAGCTTCTCTGGGCACCCTGTGCCAGGGCCTCAGCACCCTCACAGTAAAGAACATCCTAATATCTAATCCCATTTGCACAGGTCTAGCTGCAAATGGAAACGGTGCCAGGATGTAAAATTAAAGATGGACCTGCAAAGAACCAAACCCACCTAAAGTTACACTTGTGGTATAAATTATTTCAGTGACTGGTTTCTGCTGCAGCCCCATTAACAGCAGGACAGTTCCAGCTGAGCAAAGTAAACCACAGCTGGGGAGAGGAAACAAGCACAAGTGTCATGGGACAGCTGTCTCGCCAAGGAAGTGGTGGGTAGACATGGGCCCCACCATGGGACTCAGGCTACATCCAGGGCTCTGGCAAGTGACCTGAGCATGGTGCACCATTCATAGCAGCTGAGCAAAGACATTAAAGGTATGCAATAAAACCACTTTGGCTATTGCTAACATTTCGCAGTGCTGAGAGAAGCACTAGTGTTGGCACGCAGCAAGTGGCATCTGTACAGCTCTGTGCTAACTCCTGACTGAGCCATACAGGGAAAAGAAGCTGCAAGGCCAAGAACAGGACAAGGCGAAGAAAGTGCAAGCTGCGAACCTCTGCTTGCCTTGCTCAGCAGAAGATGAATGTTAATTCTCTGCTGGTTTGCACAGCCACAGACAGACCTGTTCTTTCTAATTTTAGCCCTTGCCTAATTCAAAACTATAGAGATGCTATTTTCATGGTGGTTTTTTTTTTTTTTCCTTCTTTTTAACAGGTTGTAAGCTGCCAGATGCACCTGCGTGGTTGAGAAATTGGTGTTGTCTAAGGAGAGCTGGGAAACCTTTGTTAGAAATAAGAAGCACATAGAATAAAATGGCACTTTAAAGCATGCTTTTAAGCTCCAAGAACAAGTCTTGGAGGCAGAGCAACCTGTCTGTGCTGGACGGAGGAGGGGAGCGGGGCCCCGGTCAGCTGCATTCTGGTATGGAGCATGCACCTTCCTCAAAACTCACACACAGACCATCCTGTCATGCCTTGTGTCTCCCAGCTGTGTGCATGCTGACATAGAATCATAGAACCAACTAGGTTGGAAAAGACCTTTAAGTTCATCAACTTCTACTACAGGGCTGCCAAGTCCACTGCTAAACCTTGTCACTAAGGGCCTGCAGTTTCTGAACACTTCCAGGGATGGTGATTCCACCCTGAGGACACATACAGCCATCTGCTCTCTGCACACCTCCACCATACATCCACCCTGCTTCCAAGCCCTTGCTCCAAAATACACCTGCACCCAGACCCCCTCACCCCACACCCTCTCCCTGCCTCTGCTCCTCCTCTCCATCACCCATCCTTGCTCGTCTTCTGCTGAGCCTGCCTGCAACAGGCAGCAACCTAAAATGTGTATAAAAAATGGTGAAATGAGGAAACATTTGTGAGAGGAAGTGAGTGGGTGGAGGGAAAAGCCTGGAGTGAACCAAAATCAACAAATACCACACTGAAACCTGAGCACTGAGTGCCCAGGGTATATGTAAGAATGCCAAGTTTACAAAACACTACCCAAATGCGCATATTCTATGCTATGTGCACCCAGTGTATGCAAGGCAACAAGATGTGCACAAGCACTGAAAATAAAGAGAAAGCTGAAAATCAGAAGTGTAAGAGCCAATGCCTTACAGCAGCACAGGTAGCTCCTGTGAGGGTGAGCAGAAAAGGCATCAGGTCATTGATCAAGGCCTCAAGTTGCCCATGCATCTTACTGGATCCCACAACCCAGACAGCAACCCAGAGGCTCTCAAAGTCCAGACAGACTGATGGTGTCTCACTAAGCACAGAGATCTTGGCAGCTATGAATAGACTGCATTTTCATTTAGTGCTTTCAATTAAAGCCTTTTAAAGGTAATATTTCTGTTTTCAAATGAACAGTTGTTTCTACAACAATGAAACTGGAAGCCCCGCTCTGCTGTTTTGACAGAGCAGCAGTTCCTCAGTTCAGATTTCTCCCTGCAGCAGCGCAAATACCTAGGAACACGATTACCAGTTTTTCAGCTTATTATTTGTGTATCCCTGACCTGTAAAACCTTCCTGCCTTCTCTAGCCTTGTAGAGAAAGACTGGCAGTGTTATGGCTTCAGTAACGCTCCACAGAAGACCTTGGGTTTTCTCCTAAAAGGACAACAAACTTGACTCAAAGGGCCTGTACCAGAATCCGGCCAGTTTTGCCCTCTCAGAATCAGCACATGAAACCTCAG